TTCTCAACTGGAGAACCTGGAATTTGCCCCAGTGCCGTTGGTGATTGCCAGAAAACAAGTACGTAGCCACATGAGGTCTTGAGACTAGGTTACCTGTAATTAATTTCTAAAGAGGCAAGGATTTTAGGGAACACGTGAGAAGTGACCTTGCTTTCTAGTAATATTTGGAACTAGGATTGAGGATACGATTAGAGTTAAGTGAAATAAGTTGTATAGAATTAAGGGAAAAGAGGAAAAGATATCTTGCTGTAAAATTTGAAATTAGATACCAAAAGAGGTGGTTGGGATGAAGAAAAGAAAAGAAAGTGTTAACTACAGGAAGGTCAGCATTAACTAGTTCGATTGAGAATGAAGTGAGTTTAAGAGGTACTATGGGAGGTGTGGGTCCTAACGGCTTAACTACAGGTGGTATAATAACGCTGCATGTTGTATAGAAAAATGGGAAGAAAAAAAAGCCACCAATAATCCTACCATTTTAAATAAGCATTATTATTATTTGGGTGCATTCTCTCTCATTTTTTCCTAAGCATCTGAGTTAAGGTCTTTGTTGGATTTTTTAAAACATCATAAAAGCGATACATGCAAATGCCCACATAAAGATGTGCCCATTGATATCTATAACAACATAATTCCTAATAACCCCAAAGGGGAAACAATCTAAACAACCATCAACTGGTGAATGAATATAATGGAATACTATGTAGCAGTAAAAAGAGGTGAAGTACCGATACAGACTATGACATGGAAGCATTACGCTAAGTGAAGGAAGACAGAGGCAGTCGACTACAAATTGTATGACTCCATTTAATGAAATGTCCAGAAAAGGCAAATTTATACAGACAGAAGCAGATCAGTGGTCGCTTTGTGCTGAGGCTGTTAATGGGGATTGACTACACTCAGGCTTGAGGGAAGATTTTGGGGTGTTGGAAATGATCTAATAATGCTGGATTGTGGGTGATGGTTGCACAATTTTATAAATGTACTAAAAAGGCACTGAATTGTACACTTACAAAAAAAAAGCAATGAAGGAGGGCTGGCTTTGAATCATTTTGGGGATAATATTTTAAGTCCAGTGAAATTCAGAATTGAATACTACAAAATATTGCTATAATAAAAGAGTTTGTAAAGTCTCTCTGAGTTTTCAAATTCTAACCAGATTTGTTCTTACTGTAATATCATCCTGACTGTGACTATGTGGAAAGACAAGAATAACATGGTCATATATTTGAAAGGCACAAAATGAAATGAAACTGAATCACCGTTACATACTGTTAAGCAAAAAGAATGAAGACACAGACGGGGCGGGCCTTCTGTTGGGTTTTATGTTAATGTGCTGCCACCTAGTGATCACTTAGAAAATGGCAGAACTTGGTTTGCGTTCTCATCTTGGGTTTATTGAGCCATGTCTGCATACCGCAAATATCTGAATGCTTGGCTGTGGGTAGTTAAATATCTGAATGAATCAGTAAATAATTTATGTTTCATAAAAATACTATAGAAGCAAGAACTGGATTGGGAATCTTGAAAAATGGCTTCCAGTCCCCCACCTGCTGGTGTCAGCTTTGTGACTTTGAGCCAGGAAAAGATTAGTTTATCTTGTTTCAATGTCCAAGGAGAGGTTCTGTAAGATAGTGGTTAGGAGCAGGGCCGTGGGGCAAGCTTGTATTTACTCTAAACTTTGGTATCTTGCCCTTTAAAATGAGGATCAAAGAATACCCACATCCAGCATAGTTATGAGAACTAAGAATGCATGGAAAAGCACTTATCTTAGTACACATCTCAGAAAAGGTTAACAGACCCCAGGCCAAGCGATTTCTATAATACTTAACAGGGTGCTGTGTGACTTCCTTCTTGTGGCTGTTAGTCTAAACTAGTTTACCAACCTATTTTTTTTAATTAAAGATATTTTTTGAGTGGGGTCTTAAAAAAAATATATATATAGTGATGATTCCCTATAGTAATAATGTGCCTAATGGGGAAAAAATCCTTTATTTACTGTTTAAAATTAGTTCCCCCCCATCCCACTAAAAGCAATGAGCAAACCCCAGAGGGGTATAAGTTTGGAAAACTAAATATACTTAGATCACCAGCTATTTGGAAAAACACATTTGAACAATTTAATTTTTAAAATAATGAGTAAAGGTAAAGGTTGCATAGAAGTTGGAATTCTACAAATAACCTGAAATTTGGCATTGCTGATTATTTTTAAACAATACGGATAGTGATGGGTATGTCACGGGGTGACTGTTCTAGCTGAACCTCTCACCACTGGCGTCTTCTAGATGTCTGACATGTCTACATATGCCAGCCGGCACAATGCTGACCAGAGAAAATAGAATTCTTTCCTAAGAATTAAATGAGTGTTTGAACCACTCTAGAATTCATTCTAAAGGTCAGAGGACCAGTCAGCTTAAGGAGCTACATCATTTAGTACTAAAGAGTTTCTACTGTTTTATATCTTCACCCATTTTAATTCTTTAGGATACCAAAATATCTTAGATGATTAATCTTAGCTCTTATTTTCCATGCAGATGTTTGGTTTATACATTGTTTTTTAAAATTTGTTTTGAACAGCTCGAGGGATAATTGAGACGCATAGATTTTACCTATTTAATGTATAGAGTAAATTTATACAGTTGTGCAGCCATTACCACAATTAAATTTTAGGACAATTTCAGCACATACTTTGCATTTGACCAGCCCCATGTGGAAAGAATTTATTGGATCATTTGCCTGTGGATTTAAACCATCTAGCTCTAGAACCTACCTTAGTTATTCATTTTGAATAAATCACAAATATAGAAAAACCAACTCAAACTCCTAACTCGACTCAAAATAGAGGTCCATAAAGCACATTTTCCAAAGGTCTGCAGTCTAATTAAGGATTTAAATTAAACATATAAATATAAATTAAAAATAAATGTTAATACATATACCCTAATGTATGTGTATATTTTAAAAAGTGTATATTGTATAATTTGCTATAGTTTATATTGATGTTATGGTCACCTTTCATCCAATGACAAACTTAATTGTTTTTGCACTCTTATAAATATGGTTAAGTAGGATAGGCTGTCCAGAGCCTGAGCATTTCGATATAGCATATCCCAAATTTATGGAATAGTCCCCCTTTCTGTGATTTGACTGTGTACACTTTCATGGGGTTGGACCTGAGATATTGGCGGGATACTTGCAGAGAGTTCCCTTCTGAATGGGATGTTTAAAGGCCCTGATTTTGTCTTGTTTCCAAAAGATATTATTTAAGAAGTAATTAAATTATCATGCCCCTCTTCCTGAAAGACCAGTTTCATGGTCTGTTTCTCCCAATTCAGCATCTATTAAATATGTACCTGAAAATCCCCCAATGCAAGAATTATAATCTGGGAATAATGGCTCTATTTGTTTATTTGTGCCTGTCTTATCTCTAAGTTTACCTGTAGGTATTCCAGAAGGGTAGTTATGTATAAACTAACTCCGCTTTGGTTCCAAACACACCTTTATCTAGCCCTACAGTTTACTACTAATTCCACTCATCTTGACATTGAAATACTATTTCACATTGTTATTTAGGTGTTCAATATGTGCTAGTTCAGTCTCTTTCAAATACTGAGTAAGCTTCTTGTCTTTAAAAGTTATAAACTGTGTGTGTGAATAAATTTTAAATTTCTCAAGCACCTAGTCCACATCAGGCAGAGTTAAAAAGCTATTTAATACATACTTGTTTGATTTATAAATGATCTCAGGTTTGTGTCTTCTCTTCTAGATTCCCATGACATTTACATTTATCATATAGCTCAGATTTCCTAGACATTAGATTTTGTGCTACCGCCCCCATCAAGTACAGCAGCACATGCTACACCATGTCTGCATATGTGGTCCTCAATAGCTGTACTATGAAGCCATCTCTATTGCAATAAGTCTGATTTGTTTTTCTTTTTGTTAATTAATGAATTTGATTATGATTTCAAAGTTTTTTAAAATTTCATCCTTGATTTTTAACATTACCGAGCATTCTAGTAGAAAAAGTTCAACCAAATGTACAAAGTAAAATTCCCTTTCACCAAATTTAATTTCTTTCTCTCCTGTTGTTTCCACTTGGACACATAATTCAGGGTTCCAACACTGATTGCCAAGAGAACATTCAGTACACACAGAAGGCAGCTGCACTGTCCCCTAGACACCTGTCCGTAGATCGCCCACTCACTAATTCAGTGACCTTGGGTGAGTCACTCCAACTTCTATGATTCTTGGGGCCCTCCATAAAATGCTGCCTATCTCACTTGGGTGTTGAGTCAAGAGAGACGTGTATGTGTAAGCACTCTGTGGTCTAAAGCGCTATTGCAAATTTAAAGGATTATTGTGGGGTCCTTGAGGTCTTTATGCCTGCCTAACGACAGACTTATAGGATACCCCCATCACCCGTTTCCCACACTCCATCTCGCCCCTGCCGCTCCAGCACCGCAAATTCAGCGGCTCCTCCCAGGGTGGCTGCTGCTTCAGGCTTTCCCTCCTCCGTGACCCAGCACAGCGACAGAGCTCCCACGAGCGCCAGGCCCCGGCTCGGAGATGACTGAGAAGTTCGAGGCGCTCTCGGTCACCGGGAAAAGAAGGTTTTCCCAGCGGAGCTCTTCTACAATTTGCAATGCATGCTTTCTCTAGGGCTGCCTCCTAGTCTCAAATGGAAGCCAGAGTCCTCCCGCCCCGCTCCGCCCCTCGCCGGTCTCTGTCT